AAAGATAGATCCTTGGAATACCAAAAACAGATCATAGTCTTTTTGAGCTATTTAGATTAGAAGTCTAAGGACCAAAGCAAAGTAAGCTAAGTACTAGAGATATGCTGTAAAGTCAGTACTGGAGTTTAAGTGAACTTTACAAGGGTAAGCTTTGTTAGCAAAAATTAAATATGAGTAGTTAGTTAGTAGTAAGAACTCTGGAACCTTACAGTCAAATGATATACTCTGAAATGTATAATGACTTAACAGATATATAAACAAGAAGGTTGAGTTAGATTAGATGACACACTTAGATGTATAAGAACTTGTGCACTATCTGCTAGTATAGTATAGAGTTATTATGTACAAGTTATATAATTATAATTGAATTTACAATAAAGGCAGTAATTGCTAATAACTAATGGCCTTAGCAAAAGCAAAAAAAAAAATTTATAAACCTATAATATTATTAAATCACTATTCAATTTTAAATGCTATTTTTAAAAATCAAACAATTTTGAATAAGAATATCACATAATAAAAGTTTCTTATAATTTTTTTTAATACTGTTTAATTTATTAATTATATCTAACTCAGTTTCAAGTATTTAATAATAAACATTAAATTAAAATTTGTATCTAGTCAAAATTTAAATGCAAAATTTTATTAGGATTAAATTGAAAACTTATATTAAAATAAAGATAGTATTAATAAGATTATAGTTATTTTGACATAGCTTATATATATAAATTAAAATTCAAATACTTAAATAAATTTTTTTATTAGTTTTAATAAATTTATTTTCTTGATAAACATATAACTGAAGACTTTTTTATATTTGACTTTAGAAATAAATGCAGTAATAGTTCTATCATATTTTAAATTATAATAATCTGTTTTGGTCATATTTGAAATTTGATACCAAATATAATCTAATTTAATCTGTTTCTATTGCTCAGAAAGTATGCATAATAAAATTTCTTCTTTAATATCTTCAAAGTTTTTTGCATTATTGAGATCATATAGAATTGCTAATAAATCATTCAGCTTTTTATATGACTTTCAAATTAATCATAGCATATTAGTATAACAAATGCTAAAATAAAATAAAATTAATTTAAAATTTATTAAATAAATATCATAAATACATGATATATTATATTTTATTTTTAAATGGATCTTTTGTTACTAGTTGTGTTGTTATTGTATTGGATATTATATTAGATTCAGTTGCTGTTACATTCAATGTTATAAGTATTAGATTTGGTTGTTGTTACATTGAATGTTATATTAAATTTGATTGCTGCAGATTCAGTTTCTATTGCTTCAGGCAAATCGAGCATTTCAGATTCAATTGTAATTATTTCAGATGAGTTAAGTATTTTAAAAATATTTGTTATAGATGAATAAGCTAAAGGCTCTTTAGCTGTTAAATCTATCATTTCAATACTTTTTTCTAATTCATGCTGATTTTCTTTTTGATATATATTTTATGATCATTGTTATAAATTAAATTTTTGAAATAATATAAAATAATATATAAATTTTTTACTTTGATTTCGTTTATTATAACTCTCAACACAATTTTGGTAAAGATTAATAAATCTTGATTATCTGGAATTATAACTTGTGTTATATATTTTTTTTAATCCAGTCAATAAATTCTTTGATCATATCGAACTTTTTTTTTATTAACGCCTGTCGTGTAATATATTTATTATGAAAGCTTATTTTATATTCAACCCCTTTTTTATGCTTTTATTAAGATCTGTGGGTTGGCAAGAACTCGCCATAAATTTCCGTACAGACAAAACACACCAAACACATTGGACAAGCGTTCAAACGAAAACTTAAATGTGTTGACATTATAGTATCGTTCCAAATACTATCGCTATGTTTTAAAAAAATTGCTTATTTATTATTAATCACATCCGAATCAGAAGTTTATCACTGCCGAAGCAAAACTTATCGAACCGGCAAATTTCAGTCGGTCAAGTTTTTGCCAGATGTCCCAAAATTTATGAAAACAGCTGTAAATATTTGTACTATTGGTTATTATTTAGTTAAAATATAATTTTTTTTTGCCAGTCATTATGTCGGGTAGTTTTAAAAATTTTTATTTGCTTATGAAGACTAACTTAGATTGGGTGGTTTTTTAAAATTCTAGTTTGCTGGATGGAGATTAATATTAGATTGAACAGTTTCAAACTTCTCATTCGCTGAGCGAAGATTAATATCAGATCGAACAGTTTTAAATTTCTCATACGTTAAGGGAAGACTAATTTTATATCCGATGGTTTTTTAAATTTTTTATTTGTTATGTGGATATTAAGTTGGGTAATTTTTTATATAGTCCTTATGGCTGATCGAAGATAATTTTAGGTCGAAAAGTTTTTTATAACTTTTATGCCGGACGAGGACTAATAATAATTCATTCGAATGTAAATTATTAGCTTTTTTTTTAATTTAAAAAAAAAATGTTATTTTTTTTCTAAATAAAAAAATTCATTTACAATGCCTTCCGCCCTTTATATGATTTTGATATGTTCTAGTAGTTACAACAAACAAGTGGTTTCTTACTTTGAAACGAAAAACTAAGCTCAAATGTGTCAAAAGTTTTACGAACAAGGAAAAAGAAAAGGTAATTATAAATAAATAATTACTGCTATTATCATAATTCCTGATTTTTCTGCTGATTCGATTAAGCTAGTGATTTCGGCATGATTGGTATATAATTACATAAATTAAACCAACGTTACATATAGATTACATTGTAATTTGTTTTGTTTTGTCTCATTTTGTTGAACTAAATTACTATGAAGAACACATGCACGTTTTGCTTTTTCGCTATCGAGCAACCTACGCAGCTGTGTGCAAAAATGCACCCCTTCTTTTTATTTTATTATATTTTTTGATATTATGACTGTCGTCCCGACAGGCCATTAAAAATTCTATGTGAACGTCGTCTCAACAGGCCACATTTATGGCTTTCACTATACAAATATTTTAGATCTCTCCATCATTTCCTGTCCATGACTGCTGTCCTGGCAGGTCATACAAATTGGCATTACTCTAACGTGGGTAGGGTGGGAGGGATAGATATGACAAGACCGAAAGTCGGGTTCACAGAAAAGACAAAATTGGTTACAATCAATTTCCCAACGCTTGCTAATATACTATGTTTAATTATAACCTCATACTTACCTAATTACCTCATACTCACATACTAACGAACATTGACTCATGTTAAACAATTTAAAAATATTTACTAAGACCAACGATTCCTTATCATTGTGATTAAATTATTCTTAAAGTTAGCACAACTAACGTACTCAAACTTTCTGTGCCAGGCTATGTCGATCATTGGCCTAGAGCAAAACTTATTACCAAATTTATGAGAGGGATTTTTTTTATTAGAGCATGAAAAGGTGTTTCATAGGCAAAAAGTACAAAACCGAAAGTCGAAAGTCTTACCGAAAGTCGAAAGTCCTACCGAAAATCGAAAATCCTACCAAAAGTCAAAAGTTCTACTTAAGGATGGAACCGAAATTACTTTGGACATGCCGAAATACCTTCGGCAAATTCGACTTGCCGAAAGTACAAAACCGAAAGTCGAAAGTCCAATCGAAAAAGTATATTGTATCGAATGTTTCAACTTAACACTTTATTTGCCAAATTCATATTTAAAATTTTTTTTTAAAAAAGCAGTTCCAATTTTTATCGCAAAGTTTTTAATAGACGAGATGATCGTTGCTGGGAATCGAACCCAGTATATATCCCCGAAAAGACAACGACTTTTTTGCTTAATATTCGAGAATATAATCTGTCATCATATTAAGCCTAAAAAAAAACCATTTTTCTTAAAAAAAAAAAGAAAATTTAACAAACATATAGTCAGTAAACTTTGTGTATTAATCATCGATGTATTTTATAAATACATCTCATTATCCCCGTTTTATCCTGCATTCAATCTGTTTAAATTTTCTTCTTTTTAAAAAAAGAAAAACGTAAAAAAAAAAAAAAAACAAAAAGATAATTAAGGAAAAAAAAAAAAGAAAAAATAAAGAAAGGGGTTTCTATATTTAATACTCGAGAGTAAAACTCTAAAAGTAAACTCCGTCATCGTATTAAGAGAAAATTTAACAAAAAGCGATATAAACGTTGGAAGGAAAAAAAAGAAAATATAAAGAAAAAAAGTGAGAGAAAAGAACAAAGTAAAAAGGTAAGGGAAAAAGCATAGAAAAAAGTAAGGGAAAATAACAAAGAAAAAAGTAAGGGAAAATAACAAAGAAAAAAGTAAGGGAAAATAACAAAGAAAAAAACGTAAAAGAAAAAACGTAAAAGAGAAGATAAAGCATAAAAAAAAAGACTGCGTAAATAAAAACGTTTCATGTGTTTCATGTGTGAGAATAACAAATCCAGGAAAGGAATATGTTATGCAAAAGATTTCACATGATAGAATGAATTTGTGACAATAGGTCTGCGTCACGTGATATGTTCGGAAATTGAGTGAAGATTTGACTTTCGGTAAGAGTTTCGAATTTCGAGACTTTCAGTAGGACTTTCGACTTTCGGACATTACGGTATGCGAATCCTGTCCGAAAGTACTTTCAGTATACATTCGGAGCCATCCTTATGCACAACTAACAATGAAAGTACGAAACAAAAGTAACAACAAAAATTATATAATTTACAAAGAACAATAGTGTATGTAATACACTGTAAACTTTTATAAAATTCAATTAGCAAACTGGTAAAACTGATCAGTTTATTACCATTCAACAAAAGAGAACTTGTTTATTATAATGCAAAAATAAGAAATTGTCTATATGATATCAAATCTAAAGTAAATACTATTTTAAAGTGTCATTTGTAAAACAAATAAATATTTTAAGTTATTCCGAATTCCAAAAATACCAATATGAAATAAAAATGTTTTTAAAACACAAAATTATAATGACAATAAACTTGATATCATGATAAATGTCAATAAATGCTACCATTTTTGATTAACATATAGATTAAACTTGATAGCCCATAGTCCTAAACTTTTTCGCAACCTCTGTCATATTTTTCAAAGCTAAATCAACCTCATTCCATTTCCTGGTTTTTAACCCACAATCTGGATTAACCCAAATGCTATTACGTTTCAATCGCTTTAACATCTCTTTCAAACGATGTTCCATTTCTTCTTTACTTGGAATACGTGGTGAGTGTATATCATAAATTCCTGGTCCGATTTCGTTCGGGTAAGTGAATGATTCAGCTCCGAGAAACTTTAGATCGGAACGAGAGTTCTCAATTGTGATCACATCAGCATCCATACAAGAAATTGCATCGATTATATCATAAAAGTCTGAATAACACATATGAGTATGAATTTGCGTGGTATCAGCTACCGAACAGCTGGCAAGAAGAAAGCTATAAATATAATGTGTGAACAAGAAATCTTTAATACCTTAATTTCAATTTTGAGATCAAGAACAGTATTAAAGGCTTACCAATCAACAGACCAATCCAAGTATTCTTTCCATTCACTATGACGTAAAGGTAAACCTTCACGTAAAGCAGGTTCGTCAATTTGAATTATATTGATTCCTGCTGCTTCCAAATCAGTGACTTCATCTCGGATCGCCAAGGCAAGTTGCTGCGTAGTCGGTTTGTGATGTTGATCATCACGTACGAATGACCATTGTAACATGGTAACTATAGGGTTCATAAAATTTAATCATTATTAATTGATTATGATAATGATAGTATTAGGATAACAAATTAAAGTAATAAATACCGGGACCAGTTAACATTCCCTTCAATGGTTTCTTGGTCAAAGATTGTGCATACTTAGCGACTTCAACGGTAATAGGTTTCGGTCGATAAACATCACCGTAAATAATTGGTGGTTTAACACAGCGAGAACCATAACTTTGGACCCAACCATTCTTTGTAAAAGCATATCCCTCCAAATGTTCTCCGAAAAATTCTACCATGTCCGTACGTTCAAATTCTCCATGGACTATGACATCAATATCGTTTTTCTCTTGAAGCTGAATACATTTTTTTATTTCTTCATTAATAAATTTGTTATATTCCTCTTGTGAAATATCACCACGTTTAAATGCCGCACGCGCTTTACGAACTTCCCCAGTCTGAGGAAAACTGCCAATTGTGGTAGTGGGAAAATCGGGTAATTTGAAGATCTCTTGTTGCTTCTCCCAACGTTTATCGAAAGTTGATCTGCGGCGTATCATATCATGATCTATACTTTTTAATCTTTCTTGAACAGCAGGATTATGAATTTTTGGTGAAGTGCGACGAGTTTGAATAGAACGTTGGTTAGCCTCTAATTCATCTTTGATACTATCAATACCATTATTTGCAGCCTTGGTGAGAAGAACAATTTCTTTAATTTTTTCAACAGAAAAAGCAAGCCAATCTTTGACGTCAGGGTTTAATTCAGTCTCCGCATCCAAAGAGTGCGGTGTGTGAAGCAATGAACATGAAGGTGTGACTATAACTCGATCTGTCCCTAAAACTGCCACAGCCTTTTTAACCATGTCAAAAGCAGCACTTAGATCAGTTTTCCAAATGTTACGCCCGTTGATAATTCCAATTGATAATTGAAGTGTTGGATGTTTTTCAGCAGCACTAAGAACTGTTTCAAATTGTTGAGGTGCCCTGACGAGATCGATGTGAAGGCCATCAATAGGAAGATTAGGAAATATGAAGGCTAGGTTGGGTACAATATTCCCAAAATATGTAGTAAGTTGTATCTTTATTGGTTCCGCACTTGATTTTTTTGCTGCCATAGAAAGGCAAGAGTATGCTTCGTGGTAGCTTTGTGATATCTTGGAATCAAGGTCTTGAACCAGACATGGTTCGTCAAATTGAACGGAACGCGCACCGGCCTCAGCCAGATGTTTAACGATTTCTTCATAAACAGGTAAAAGCCTTTCTAAAAGTTGAATCGGTGCGAAATCCGCTGGAGAGTTTGGAGATGCTTTACCAAGAAGAAGTAAGGACACTGGACCTATCAAAACTGGACGAGTTTCAATGCCGAATGATTTTGCTTGTTTATATTCTTCAAGAAATTTATTACAGGTCAACTTGAACTGCTGAGTTGGATCGAATTCAGGAACAATGTAATGATCTATAGGTATCAATAGAATGAAAAAATTATCAAATTAAGAAGTTTAGCATATAACAGTAATAGCAATATCACTTACAATTTGTATCGAACCACTTTTTCATTTCCATTGCTTCCAAGTCTATGACAGGTAAATTTGAGCCTTCAGTTGGAAATTGTTGATATCCTCTTGCCATTGCAAAGTATGTTGACAACATATTGCCTTCTAATGCGGAGGGTAACAGATCATCATTTTTAATGAAAACATCCCGATAGCGCTTCGGGATTGCACCAACTGTAAATGCCTGGTCCAAGACTTGATCATACAAAGAGAAATCGTTACTAGGAACGATATCTAATCCAAGCTGATTCTTTTGAAGTACCCAATGATCTTTACGTAATTCATTAACAACTTTTAAAAGAGCAGAATCAGTAACTTTGCCTGACCAAAATGCTTCGACCTGGCGTTTTAGCTCTCGATTCGCACCCATACGCGGGAAACCTAGATTAGCTGAGAGAACACGCATGATTGTGAGGGAAAATATGAAGTTGAATGCTATGAAAGAGCCAGACTATTTTTATTTGTTTATTTATCTATTTTTTTTTTTTTTTTTTTTTGAAAACAACGAATTATCGATTGGTTAAAAAATTTCATCTAAAAAACTTTATCAGGAACAAGCATGTGATGGTGACTCACTTAATTTATTGTCGCCGATACTTTCCGTGATTGTAAAGTTGGGGAAATTAATTTCTCCCAATTTCATTGATTTACCAATAGTAGTGAAATTATCTAATAATTTGTTTTACCAACAATGCACAGAAAATGGGGCGGGAGTTAACCAAAATAAACTTTTTTCGAGGAATTCTTGGAAGCCTTTTTTGTACATCAAAATACGAATACCGTTTAAGTACATATGTACGTAAGTGTTGGCATTATCGTTATGATGATCCATCAATCTAAATCGAACGATTTTGGTGAGACAAATCGAATGATATGAAAATCACTTAACATCAACGATAACTTTAAACAATTTTGTGCTACGTACTCGATAAAAGTCGATCGATCGACTAAAATTAATTGATCGCATGTTACGAAAATTCCATATGAATGCTCCCTTCCCTTAATCTTATTTAGCATCTGAATCCAACATCTCATGATTCTCATTAAAGTTGATTTGTTTCATTAAGACGATTAGAATCACTCAAATTCAATCAATGAATCATAAGTTATAGCCTATTCATTACATTATTATGATTCGACACATATCTTATATTAGCAAGAATATCATTAACCCCACTTTGGTGAACCTAAAAACCGAGGATGCCGTAGAAGCCGATGCCACTTCTGAATAAAAACTATTCCAGGGATGATATAGGCAAAAGTTCGTGATTGACCAATGTAAATAATGGGCTAAGTAGTGTAAAAGGTTTTAATTTTATAACTCCATAGAATTAAAATAGAATTATATCAAATTTGGCCTATTAATTACCAAAATTTTTTATTTAAAAAAAAAACTTTATAAAGATATACGTATTGGTATGCTGTATATAGGCTAAGTGTTGAGAAAAGGGACCAAATTAACAATTTTTCAAAAAATTTTTTTGAGCTTAACTAATTCAAAAATTAACAGAAACATTCTTTATATAGGAGTGAATAATGTTGTGTTAAAATAAAATTTTACAGTATACCCTTTTAAAATTTGAATTTTCTTATTATAAGTATAGATTTTATATTAGAAGAAATAAAATTTACGCAAATTTTATTATTTGTCAACTTGGCCTCTTTCTCAGCGTCTAGCCCATATAAGTATATAGAAAGTCAATAAAAGAAAAACAAATCATTTTTAGTAAAATTTTTAAATCACAATATCTCAACTATCTAATCAAAATTGATAAACTAAAACTGTTTAAATAATCAAAGCCAGATATATTAAGTAAAATGTTCATTCCAAAAAACCTTACCTCAACTTTATTTTTAGTTTAAGTCCATAACCTCTAATTTAGTATAGGGATGTTATTGGCTTGGATAGCTCAGCTTAGCTTAAAGAAACCATAGCCAAGCTATAACTAAGCCATGGTTTAAGCTTATTGGCTACAATTAAAACTAAAACTAATAATTTTTTTTTTTAAGTAATTTTTAATTTTGGCTTAAGCTATAGCGTTAGGCTATTGGCTTTGCTTGATTTTAGCTTAGCTTCAAATTGTAGCTAAAACTGGCTTCAAGTAAAGCCATAACATCCCTAATTTAGTATGGTATCCGTCTATTCATTCAAATAAGCGGAGTTTATCCGTATCCGCTTTATCCATTTGATAACAAAGAATTTTATCGTGGAGATACTAATGACCATAGTTTTTATCTGGCATTATAACTATAGCTCAAATTTAAATTCAATCAGCGATTTAATTCTATGAAATCAAAATTCTATCCGAATAAATAGTAAAATTTGGATTATCCGGATCGTTCAGATAAAAAGTCACATCTCTACTCTAATTTTATCCTAATTTATAACCTTAATCTTAGGTATTAACAACCAAATTATAATAAACAATGATATGATATTTAACATCACTGGTGCAATTTATAATAATTGAAAAAAATATTAAATTAGGTTGAATTGTTGTAGCTGAGGCTGGAAATAGTCGAAGCCAGAAATTTTAATATAAAATGTTTAAAATTATTTTGATACAATTTTTTTTATAGCTTTTTTTGTATAGTTAACTTAGGATTTAAGTTATTAATATTTAAAATCGATTGCTAACCATCATCAGACTTAAATATTAATCATCCTACGTGATGTCGGCGAAATAATTGTCGAGGAAATAATATAGATCCTCGTGCAACATATAATTTTTATTAACAAAGGTTATGTTTAATATTAGGGTAAAACTAGTTTTAGACTTTAGAGAAAGGAATAAGTTGATACTAAAAAATTTTGCAAAAAAAATATTTTTTGCTAAAACCCTAAAAGTAGCTTTATTAATAAAAATTTCGAAAAATAACAATATCCGTATATATACATAGTGCACAAATAGAAATTCTCTTTACTAAAATTACAACAATAATTTTATAATATAACCAAAATTTTACCTTATATATTTACATTTCATATACTGTATTAGAAACGAAATAAAAATCACCAGTCACGTCTCGGTTCATTGTGCCTATAAACCAGAACCTGTGTCAGAGAAGAGAAAAAATCGGTAGTATCAGCAAAAAATAAAAATTAAATAAATATTATTAAAAAAGACAAAAATTACCTTCTGTTAATTTATCGACACATATCTTTAATTCCATTCCATGTGAAACCCGTGTTCAAAAAAAGGAGGTATATGCATCTGATAAAAAAAAAATGAAAAAAAACCGATTCATCATCTGTAACAATTCCAGTTCCAAATGTCAGAACTTGTATAAAAAGGCGCCAGTTACATCCTGATTCATCGAGGCTATAACAATTCTAGCTCCAAATGTCAAGACCCGTGTGAAAAGAAAAAAAAACATCGTACCGGCAAAAAAAAAAAAAAAAATCCGGGCTTTCGACGCCAATTCCAAATTACAGTTTCATAAAGTACTAGTATGTGATGAAGAAACGAAAGAATAAATAAAAAAAGGCACCAGTTACATCCTGATTCGTCATGCCTATACTAATTCAAAAACAAAATCGTTAGTACCGGCAAACAAAAAAGAACATAAAAAAAAAAAGAATTATCTCCTGCTAATTTTGACGTCAATCCATAGTTTTAGTTACTTGTAAAAGCGTAAAAGTTGTGAGCAAAAAAAAAAAAAAGTAGTACACGAAGCTACAAGTACGAAATTACGCCTATAAGAAAATAGAAAAAAGAAATAAACACCATTTTCCATTGAATTCACTGATCCATTCGCTATTGAAATTATGAACCACCCAATTTTGAAATCCACTGCTGAAATCGAACTACCCACTATTGAAATCACTTATCCGCCTACTGTTGAAATTATGAACAATCTAATGTCAAAATCACTAACCTACCCACTGCTGAAAAGAAAAAATCAACGAAAATAACTCCAACAACGAAGACTTCAACTATTCTAATTGTGGTGACTCCAATAGCGATAAAATCATAAAAAAAAAGGTTAGACAAAAAAAAAATCAAGTGGAACAGAAAAACTAAGAAAAATTCTTACCAAAAATCCATTTCATTTTTGACACTTCAACGATGACAACATCAACAATTACAACTAGGAAAACACTAATAAAAATGGATAAAAAAATTCAAAAAAAAATAAAACAAATAAAAAGAAAGAAATATTGAAAGAAAAATACTTACCCAAAAGTCCATTCAGTTTTTGGCAACGAATCCTCAATTAAAAATATAACTTGTACATCAAGTTATCGTTTTTTCGTCAAGTATCCAACCGTTCTAATATAGATCTATAAAAAAAAAAGTGTTGGTTTCTGCTTTGAAGAAAGAAAAAACAAGACCGAAAAAGAAAGATACATATTTGACCAGTTCTTTTCATTCCTAATATAAAAAAAAATTTGTTAATGATAATGATCATTAAGTAAATTCATTTATTTTCGTTCGTAGTATGCAAAGCTCCTTTTACAGAATAAGAAAAAATTGTGACTAGCTCCCTATAAAGAACTAGTAGGCCTTACTCTAGGAACTACATCAAACTACCGATCATATACCAGAAACAGACTTTCCTGACAAACACTTCCTTCGGAGTCTTTTCTGAAGCGGCCCCCCCTACCCACCTTCTTATAGGATCTTCTCCAAAAAGAAAGTACTACCACTACTTTGCTGGTAACAGTAGTAGCAGTGGTAGCAGTTTCTTTTCGAATACGATCATCCAACTCCAGGAGAACATCCGTCCATGCTTATCCATCCGGCCGGCAAACTGGCATATAAAGAAAGGTAGCCTGAAGGGTTGCAACTTAAGAACTAATAATAAAAATACTTACATCATTTTTTCTTCTGGAACCGTAACTTCTTTCTTGTATTTAAAAATTCACGTATAGATTTGTTGAGAAAAATAGATATTTCATAAACACGTAAGTGTGCATTAGATAAAATACTTGGCGTGACTCCGCTAAAAAGGGGTAAGTTTCTACATCGTCAAAAAAGTAACTTCATCAATATCAATTTCCTAAATTAGAAATTAAACAGAGGAACAGTCACATCATTTGTAGATCTGTTACACAATTCATAAAAAACTTTTTTATATCGTTTTAAAGTACTTTTTCAAAAGCGTTACTTACCCCACTTTGAAACGTAAAGTAGTGCTTTGTAAACTTGAGGGCTTCGTACAGTAGTTTAATAACATCAGTTTAATCCAAGTAAATCCCACAGCTTTTATATGACGATTTACCTTGCAAAGGTATATATGTAACTTAATAATATAAACTAATTATTTTTTTATTTTTATACAAATTTTAGTACAGTACATGATAATTGTAAAAGACAATATAAAAATTATCTAATATAAGATTGTATAAAACTTAAACCTTCTATTAGAATAACTGTTGTATGATTAGAAATTATGTAAGATATTTGGAAGATTATAGATATGAAAATCTTTATAAAAAAAACAGGAGACAAACTCTTTCTGCAAATCCATTGCACAAAAATTAACTAAAAAATTCGTCCGTCTAAAAATACTTATAACTATTTATTTTACTAAGACAACCTGTC